CGTCACCACCGTAGAAAGTTGCGGACCATTGGTGGAGAGGCCAACTGATAAACCGCTCCGAGGACATATATTCTTTAATTTTAGGCAGTGCCTAGAAGACAGAATGAAAGCAATGATCCAAATATCACAGAAAATTAAAAAACATAAGGTTAGATGACACACCTCAAAGCGTTCTGCGTACTCCTTCATGAAGGAGTACGCAGATTAGGGTGCTTCTTAAAGGTGGATGGCTCGAAAATTTGGAAAACGCAGAGGTTCTCGTAAAGTACAAAGTCTGAATAGGTGATCTGCAGGAAAAATCAAAATTGCCAGCAGCAGTGACACAAAACGACGAAAAAACAGCAAGACAGCATGATTCGGGTATTACATAAACAAGAGAAAACGTACGTTGTCACCCATTAGCCACTTCTTGCTACCGAGGTAATTAGAGATATCTTCGATGCCCTTTTCATATTTAGGCATAAACCCTGGTCGTTCTTGTTCCTAGAGCAACCTTATGCAACATTCTGAGGAAACATACGTATTTTGGACTGATAGCAATGCTTGTCAAAGCAAGTCGCAAATCCTTGATCGCGGTCTCAGCCATGGCATAAGCCTTTGCCTACAAGACAATGCTTTTCTCCCAGGTAACGCAGAATTGGGCTTGACTGGGCCAGCTTTACATCTCTGTCGATGATAAATGGAAGTTAAAGCGTGTGGTGTGTCCATCAGAAATTCTTCTCACGTTAGGAAACCCGATGTCGAGATTGTATTTCGCTTTCTTCCATTCTTCCAAATCATCTTTTCCGAATCTCTTTTCTTCATAATCTTCGCCAACGTACTCAAGCAGAAGTCGGATGGGTTGCGGAAGCTGAGATAAATATTTATAAAATTTATAAAAACATTATGTAGAGTAAATTTTGCATTTGGACATCTGTATGTGCAGTTAAAAGCTACCGAACGTAATTTATGAGTAAAAGCGGTAGATGACGCGACATTCATAAAAAAGAAGGTAAACAGAAATGATATAAGTACCCCACGAAGAGAGAGACCCTATATGGAGAGATCTGGCGGATGTGTTTAACCAATGAACATGCGGCATGACTGTCCAATATATTGGCGGACATTGTAATGTTTTTTTGTGATGTTTTTATGTGCCAAAACTGGTAGAGAACACATTCAAGGGTTTTTGTAAGTTACTTTGTACGTATATAGAAGGTGTGCGCGGCGCTTCGCTCCGCGGACTAATCTAAACTAACTCCA